GCCACTGCACTCCAGTCTGGGTGACAGAGTGAGACTCCAACTCAAAAAAAAATGAAAAATTTATGTATTGTAGAGACGAGTTCTCAACAAGTTGCCCGGGCTGGTCTTGAACCCCTGGGCTCAGGCAATCCTCTCGCTTTCACCTCCCAAAGTGCTGGCGTGAGCCACTACACCAGGCTGAAAAGTTGGAAGACTTAATAGATGTGTGAAGGAGAAATTTGAGGAGAAGGAAGAAGGTAGTTAATTACAGCTAGGTTTCTGTTGTTAATATCCATATAGGATATGGTAAGGACCGAACCAGGGCATTGCTAATAGCAGAGATGAAGTGAAGGAGCATGGTGGATACAGTAGGTGGTCGATTGGCAGGACTTCGTAGGCTAGTGATTAGGTGTGAGGGAGAAAGAAGCATCAGGGATGAGTTCTAGGTTTATAGTTTGGTTGATTGGGCGGTAGTACCCCCATGTCAGTTGCGAATCCCACAGGAAAAGGTGAGGGAAAGATAAACTTGGTTTGGGACGTGTTACATTTGAAGTGTTTGCGGGGTGTCTAGATAGTCTTGATCACAGTTACAAGTTTGGGAATCATCGGTATGTAGGTGATAGAAATGGCAGCACCTGAGGTTTTTGCAAGGAGTTTGTCTAAAAGCCAGTCTGTCTCTACACTCAGCATAGCTCATGTGACATAATTGCAGCAACCTTCTGACTGATCTCCTTCGGCTCTCCCCAGTCCTCTGCAAAAGTTTCCTTACTGCTTCCCTTTTTTTTTGTTTTTGTTTTTGTATTTTTTGAGTTAGGGTCTCACTCTGTCAACCAGGATGGAGTGCAGTAGAATGATCATGGCTCCCCACAACCTGGAACTCCTGGGCTCAAGCAAATCCTCCCACCTCAGCCTCCCAAGTAGTTGGGACTACCGGTGTACACCACCATATTCAGCTAATTTTTTTTTATTTTTTGGTAGAGACGAGGTCTCGCTACGTTGCCTAGACTGGTCTCAAACTCCTGGGCTCACACAGTCCTCTCACCTCAGCCTCCCAAAGTGCTGGGATTACAGGCATGAGTCACCGTGCCCAGCCAACTGCCTCTTACTTAGAAACCTTTGCTGACTCTTCTTTTATTTATTTTTTTTGAGTTGGAGTCTTACTCTGTCGCCCAGACTGGAGTGCAGTGGGGCCACCGCAACCTCGACCTGCTGGGCCCTGGCGATCCTTCCGCCTCAGCCTTCCAAGTAGCTGGAACTACAGGCACGCAGTACCACACCCGGCTAATTTTTTGATTTATTGTAGAGATGAGGTCTCGCCAAGTTGCCCAGGCGGGTCTTGAACTCGCGGGTTTAGGCAATCCACTCACCTCAGCCTCCCAAAGCTCTGGGATTACAGGCTGAGCCACCGAGCCCAGCTGACTCTTCTTTTTGACTACAGGGAAATATATGTTCCTCAGCATGTTGTAAAAAGTCTATGATCCAGCCTTTCTTCCTGGCTTCATTTCTCAACACCTTCTCGCATGCACCCTGTGTTCCAACTACCCCAGACTTAGTATTTCTCCCCCTGCGTACTTCCCTGCTAGTCAATGAAGCATAGCCACTGCCAATTCCCCAGGCCCTAGAGATAGTTACTTGCTTTGCTTCCCCAGTACTTGACCAATCATTTTTTTTCCTGGTCCATATCAGATTGTCTTATAATTATTTTGTGTGACTAGACCTTGAGCCCTTTGCCTACAAGATTCAAATCTTGTTTATCTTTGTCTTCTCAGTGCTCACCACTTGGCATTTTAGGAATTTAGATATATATAGTGTATGTCGTATGAATAAGCAAATGATGTGAGAGTTCAGTAGACTGAGACCCACACATACCCTGCACCAGCCTTTCCTGCCATTGTCCACTGGGGGACTTTCTAGATCCTCTGTTGCTTTTAGCTCTGTCATCATCACTAACGTGTGGTGATCACTCACTGTGTTTTGAAAACTTTTCTAAGTACTTTGCATACATGCATTTACTTATTCCTCTTAACAGTCAGATGAGGAAACAGGCACAGGATCACGCATCTAGTAAATAGAGATAAAATGCAATCACTGGCATCAAATTATGAAGCCGTTATTGAGACCAAAATGAATTTTCTACTAATAAGCTCCCTTAGGCACTTCTCAAGTCTAGGCTTCTTTTCTGTGGTCTTTTCTTACTTTATTTTTTCTTTTTGTGTTGGAGTCTCTTTGCCCAGACTGGAGTGCAGTGGCACACTCACACCTACTGCAGCCTCGACCTGCTGGGCTCAGGCGATCCTTCCAAGTAGCTGGAACCACAGGCATGTGTCACCACACCCGGCTAATTTTTTGATTTATTGTAGAGATGATGTCTCACCATATTGCCCAGACTGGTCTCAAACTCCTGGGCTCACGCAACCCTCTCACCTCAGCCTCCCAAAGTGCTGGGTTATAGGCATGAGTCACCATGCCTGGCCTTCTTTTTCTTAATTTCTTCATTTTGTTTTTCCAACACTCACTCTTCCTTTAGGTTTCTCTTCCCACTCACCCTCCCATCTCCCTTCCACCAATACAGATTCACTGAGTTAGAGTATGTGCTTTTTCTTTTTTTGTTAATTTGGGGGTTTTTTTGAGTCAGAGTCTCACTGTTGCCCAGGCTGGAGTGCAGTGGCACACTCCCGGCCACCACAGCCTCGACCTACTAGGCTCAGACAGTCCTTCCGCCTCAGCCTTCCAAGTAGCTGGAACTACAGGTGCACGCTACCATGTCCCACTAATTTTTGATTTAATGTAGAGACGAGATCTCACCAAGTAGCCCAGGCTGGTCTCGAACCTGAGGGCTAAGGCAATCCGCTCTCCTTGGCCTCCCAAAGTGCTGGGATTACAAGCTGAGCCACCAAGCCCGGCCTGTAGTGTTTCAACTGACCTTCAAGGCATATACATTTGGAGGACCCTTTTAGTTTAGGTTTTTTGTTTGTTTGGGTTTTATTTATTTATTTTTTTACAGTTTTGCTCTAGGGAGTCAATAATTAATAACAAAGAATAATTAATAACAAACATGAGAAATTTATAAACTGAGACCTCTCAATAAGTTCTCCCCCAACCCCTGAGTAATTCTAAATTATTTGCTAAAACAGTAGCTAAAATGTACCATCGTCTTTGCTCTCATCCTTAACTCCTGAAGGTGGCCCTAAGCAGACCTTCCAGTTTCCAAGGATCCAAGCCCTCTAGATTCGAGGGTCTCCTTCTCACAACCTGGTCTTGGTGTTTAGGTGTGAAGGTGAGATCAGAGCAGTAAGGAATGTCTGGGACTTGGTTGTGTAACTTGGACTTGCAACTTAATTAGCAAACATTTTATAGGGCCTGAGTCTTCTGGCTTTAGAACCTTGTCTCACACCAATTAAGGTCCCAAACTAATAATCATTCACCTATGTGTTTTTCTCGGGTGTTTAAAAATAAATACCATTGAAGCATATTTTTTGTCTTTTAGGCTTTAGAAAATTTGCGTGTATACCTGTGTGAGAAAATCATAGCTGAGAGACATTTTGATCATCTACGTGCAAAAAAAATACTCAGTAGAGAAGACACTGAAGAAATTTCTTGTCGAACATCAAGTAGAAAAAGAGCTGGAAAACTATTAGACTACTTGCAAGAAAACCCCAAAGGACTAGACACACTTGTTGAATCTATTCGGCGAGAAAAAACACAGAACTTCCTAATACAGAAGATTACAGATGAAGTGCTGAAACTTAGAAATATAAAACTAGAACATCTGAAAGGTAAGATATTTTAGATATCTAAAAGTTAATTTCAATGTAATAATGTTTTCAAAAACTTTAAATTTCAGGATTATATTTGATTTGCATTTCTTTTACCTTCTATGATATTATTACATTGCAAAAGTAGAATATCACTCAATATCTCTTGTATTTGTTTTTTGGGTTTTTTTGTTTGTTTGTTTGTTTTTTGAGTTGGAGTCTCACTCCGTCACCCAGACTGGAGTGCAGTGGCCGCTCCCGGTCACCGCAGCCTCAACTGCTGGGCTCCGGTGATCCTTCCACCTCAGCCTTCCAAGTAGCAGGAACTACAGGCACGCGCTACCACGCCTGGCTAATTTTTGACTTATTATAGAGATGAGGTCTCTCCAAGTTGCCCAGACAGGTCTCGAACCCGCGGGCTCAGGCAATCCACTCACCTCAGCCTCCCAAAGTGCTGGGATTACAGGCTGAGCCACCAAGCCCGGCTAATCTCTTGTATTTGTATTCCTCTAATAATACCATTCATGGAATACTTACTATCATGAAATCCCTGTGTACATAGGGTTTTTTACCTAAAGTCAGCAGAATGTAAAATTAATCTATCCAAGCGTAATCTAAGTCCATCTCTGCTAATTTTTCTTCCACAGTTGATCGCAAGATGGAGTAGTTGGCATGTTTACAGGAATCATGTTGCATAGAATATTCTTGACTTTTAACACTAGAATCACACTCTCCAGCAGGATGTGAATGCATGGGAACTGAAATTAAGGGAATGGAAAATCTACCTGTCCCTTTTCACCCTCACCTTGGAGCATACACTCACTGATTGGAATGTTACGTAGAATTGCCTGCACAGTTTAAGCCTGCAGCCTCCTAGGGGGCTTTTCTATTTCTCTCAAGAACACATAAAGTTCTACAGCTCTTCTAGGTTGGTGATATAGAAATGAGTAATTGAGGACTCTGCCCTTAAGGAACGTGTAGTCCATAAGTTCTTGTTGGGATACATTAGAAGTTTTCTCTTTTGAGCCACATAGAAGAAAATAGTTTCTATAGTGTGGGACAGAAATGCTGAATGTATTGTGAAGATGAAAAACTAGGCCTAGGCTGGGCTCGGTGGCTCAGCCTGTAATCCCAGCACTTTGGGAGGCTGAGGCGAGTGGATTGCCTGAGTCCGAGGGTTCGAGACCCGCCCAGGCAACTTGGCAAGACCTCATCTCTACAATAAATAAAAAATGAACCAGGCATGGTAACGTGCACTTGTAGTTCCAGCTACTTGGAAGGCTGAGGTGGAAGGATCGGTGGAGCCCAGCAGGTCGAGGCTGCGTGCCACTGCATTCCAGTCTGGGTGATAGAGTGAAACTCCAACTCAAAGAAAAAAAAAAAGAAAAGAAAAACTAGGCCTAGCACAGTTACTTACATCTGTAATCCTAGTACTTTGGAAGACTGAGAGGGACAATTGCTTGAGCCCAGGAGTTCAAGACCAGCCTAGGCAATGTAGTGAGACCTCATCTCAACAGAAAATTTTTAAAAAATTAGCCAGGTATGGTGGTATGCACCGTAGTCCTAGCTACTTAGGAGTTTGAGTCAGAAGGATCGTCTGAGCCCAGGATGTCAAGGCTGTAGTGAGCCATGACTGTGCCACAGGACTCCTGCCTGGGCAACAGAGTGAGACCCAGACTTAAAAAAAAGAAAAAAGCCCACTGGAAAAAACTGACATGTAATATTTGCAAGATAACAAAAAGGTAAATTATATTTGTGTTTATTCTTTCAATCCTCTGGATAGTTGTTAGCTCTACCCTTTGGATATGGGAAAATTCTCTGATGGAGTCTCAGTTTGCTGCTGCTATAACAATACCAAAGACAGAGTAATTTATAAAGAAAAGAAGTTTATTTCTCATAGTTCTGAGGCTGGTAGGTCCAAGACCATGGCACCAACTTCTGGCAAGTGTCATCCCTTGGTGGAAGGGCAGAAAACAGAGAGGCAAAAGAAGGTGAGAATGCATGAGACAGAAAGGAAAAGGGGATCGAACTCCTGAAGTAACTAACCCTCTCCTGGTAAAATGGCTCTGTCCTCGAGGGCCAGTCACCTGCCAAAGGCCCCACCGCGTAACACTGCAACAATGGCAACCAAGTTTCCAGCTTGTGAATTTTGGGGGATACATTAGCACCATAGCTGATGGGAACAACTGCTGTCACTTGAGTAAACTATTCGTTTGAAAATCGGGGGCCATTGCCTTGCTAGAGTCTGGTGTGGCCATGTGCTCCTTGAGCCATGGCTGTGGCCATGCTTCCTGGCTTTGGTCCCCCTCCCCCACCTTGGGAGGTGAATCTTCTTTCTTCCTTCTCTCTCTCTCTCTTGAATTTACTTTTAAATAAACTTTTCTTAACATTAAAAAAAAAAAGTAAACCGGGACATTGTCTGTTCACTTGTAGTTCTCACTTTCCCATGCTGCAGTCCTGGAGCGTTGGGCATGTTGTGACTGTTCTGTGCTTCAGTTTTCTCATCTCTAATAATGAGAGACTATCCCAGATAACCTCTGAAATCTTTCAGTTCTAACATTCTGTGATTGAAGAGTCAGTAACTACCATTGAATAACTCATAGAATTTTAGCATCTTCCACATTTAAATTTTGTCTTTACTGGCTAATATCTTTTACATCAGAATACTAAAGAATATTTATTAGTTGTGAAAGCTATTTTTTATTTTATAAAAAATTTTAGGAGCCTTTAAATTTTTTCCAGATCCTTCAGTGGTTAAAGTCTATAAATATACTGTACATTAAATGTGGATTGTAGCATATATATGTGAGTTATAGCGTATAACTTCCATGAGACTATTTTTTAATCTAGAAAATGCCAATAATAGTATATTTCATGGATGTTGAGAAAAGCAAATGAGATTTGAAATGGATTATGATAGAATTTATAAGTTGCTGTTTAAATTTTGGTTTAGTAGTCAGGCGCAGTGGCTCACGCCTGTAATCCCAGCACGTTGGTAGGCGAAGGCGAGAGGATTGCCCGAGCCCACAGGTTCGAGACCAGCCTGGGCTACATGGGGAAACCTCGTCTCTACAATAAATAAAAACATTAGCCAGGCTTGGTGGTACACACCTATAGTTCCAGCTACTTGGAAGGCTGAAGCGGAAGGATCAGTTGAGCCCAGCAGGTCAAAGCTGTGGTGGCCTTGAGTATGCCACCGCACTCCAGCCTGGGTGACAGAGTGAGATTCGAACTCAAAATAAAAATAAGAAAATAAATTTTGTTTTAGTGCTAACTATCTTGTAATCTTTAACAGGTTACAAAATGGGCATGGACTCAATTATTTTACTTTTTCATTTGCATTTGGTTAATTTTATTATAGGACTGAAATGCGGTAGCTGCGAGCCCTTTCCAGATGGAGCCACGAACAACCTCTCTAGATCAAATTCAGATGAGAGTAATTTTTCTGAAAAACTGAGAGCATCCACTGTCGTATACCATCCAGAAGGAGAATCAAGCACGGCCCCCTTTTTTTCTACTAATTCTTCTCTGAATTTGCCTGTTCTGGAAGTAGGCAGAACTGAAAATACCATCTTCTCTTCAACAACACTTCCTAGACCTGGGGACCCTGGGGCTCCTCCTTTGCCACCAGAGCTGCAGTTAGAAGAAGGAGGAACTTGTGGAAACTCTAGCGAGATGTTTCTTCCCTTAAGATCACGTGCTCTTTCACCGCAGTGACAATCTCCTGCCTTCTAGATTTTTTAATAATGACAAAAATGTTTTAAAGGTTATGAGTCTTTTTATAAAACCATTGTAATGATTTATTTACATTTGATACTTGCCTTTTAAAATACAATGTAAGCATACTTTGTAAATAGAATTTGTTAGGTAAAAGAAACAAATTTTTAGAATTGCTAAATGCAAATCATGTCAATCATGTACTTTTCAGTATTTTCTAGTCTTTTTTTTTAGGTGTTTTATTGTTTTCAACCATTATATATTTTAAGATTAATAGGGAATGTATCTCTATCTGAGAATAGACTCTTAGGCTGGAAATAATTTTTCATCTCATGCATTTGTGCTAGAAATTTTCAGAGTCTAATAGTCCTTTCCAACCATTCAGGAGCAGATTTTCAGCATTGAGCTGCTTCTGTTCAGTAATAAAGCCAGCCATTGATGGAAAAACTGCCAATATATTGAAAAAATTTTTCTTTCCCACTCCATTGGCCTTACAGGAACTTAAAAGGTCTCCTTCTGATACTAGACGAACACCTAAAGTTCTCACTTTCCCATGCTGTAGTCCATGACATAACTGTTCTGTGCCTCTGCTTTCTCATCTCTAAAATGAGAGGGAATTTGAACCACCTAAGATCTCAGTTTGCCAAAATTCATTTCTAATTAACCTTGCTACCTTTTTAGGATTTTCATATACTTGGCTTAATCATTTTAATTGTTAAATAAAACTCTTGGCCTAAACTTTAGATAGTACGTGTAATTTGGTGAGATTTTGAAACATACTTTCTGTGTACTTTGCTGTCACTTTTCATGAGGGCCACTGTACAGTTAAAATAACTAGAGCAAATGGTTTTGGAGAGTGTGTGGCAGTTGTGTTTTGTTTTGTTTTTTTGAGTCGGTGTCTCATTCTGTTGTCCAAGCTGGAATGCAGTGGCACACTCATGGCCACCGCAGCCTCAACCTGCTGGGCTCAGGTGATCCTTGTACCTCAGCCTTCTAAGTAGCTGGAATTATAGGCCCATGCCACCACACCCAGCTAATTTTTTTATTTATTATAGAGATGAGGTCTCACCAAGTTGCCCAAGCTGGTCTGGAACCCGTGGACTTAGGCAGTCCTCTCACCTCGGCCTTCCAAAGTGCTGGGATTGTAGGTGTGAGCCACCATGCCTGACCTTCAATTGTGTTTTTAATGCTATTTGAATAATGCTATTTAACCAGATTTGTCTTTTTGTTGTATAATACAGTTTGACTTATTTTACTCATTTATGCATCTTACACTCTCATTGTTTTTTAAAAATTACAGTTCTACCTGTTTTCCTATTTCTACTATTAATTGCAAAAAAGCAGAAATGAAAATTTGTTATTACTAATAAAAGTTTTTTTAATGTAGTGCTATTTTGGAGTTTCAAAACTTTCAGGAGGAAATATCTAAAACACATTTTAAAAATAGACATACGAGTATTTATAGAAAACTAAGTTGTGAGCTTGAGTTTCACTTCTGGATGGGCTGATGAAAAAGATGGGCATATTTGCTTTAAAATTTTTTAATGGATGATTTTTCATATAAACATTTTCTAAAAATTATGGGGAAATGTGCTTCACATCCAATGTGTAGCATGAGAAATTAGTGGCATGGCGTTATTTAAAAAACGAAAGCAGGATGGGTGTGGTAGCTCTGCCTATAATCTCAGCACTTTGGGAGGCCTAGGCAGGAGGATCGCTTGAGCCCAGGAGTTTGAGACCAGGTTGGGCAACATACTGAGACCTCAGCTCTACAAAAAAATCAAAAAATTAGTTGAGCGTGGTGGTACATGCCTGCAGTCTCAGCTACACAGAAGGCCGAGGCAGGAGGATCAACTGAGCCCTGGTGGTCAAGGCTGCGGTGAGTCATGGTTATGCCACTGCACGCTAGCCTAGGCAGCAAAGTGAGATTCCAACTCAAAAAAAAGTGGAAGCAGACGTTTCATTTCATTAATAAATTTCAGTACGTGGATACATTTTAAGAATTGAATCAAGGATCATAATTTAGATATGCTACGGCACCTACATATATTTATAGCTTAGTTTTGACACTGAGTTCTCATTTAGACTGCTGGCTAACAGCATAAAACATAAAATTAAGGTTCTTGTGAGTGTAAGCTTTTGCGTTTTTGATTCCTACAAATCATTTTTTTCCCTTTAAACACTGAAAACTAGCCATTACAAAAAGTATAAACTTAGGAAGACAGGATGCAGTTTGTTAACTAAATTGATTAATGCAGCAGCAAAAAAGTTACTTTCCAGGGATACCATATTATCACAATATAAAAACCACCTTCGAGCTCACTTTTTTATTTCTGTGTGTGTGTAATTAATACTTTATTTTTTAGAGCAATTGCAAGTTTTCAGAAAATACAGAGTGCTTCTAAATACACTCTTCTTGGCCAGGCTCGGTGGCTCAGCCTGTAATCCCAGCACTTTGGGAGACCAAGGCGAGTGGATTGCCTGAGCCCGCGGGTTCGAAACCCACCCGGGCAATTTGGCAAGACCTCGTCTCTCCAGTAAATCAAAAAATTAGCTAGTCGTGGTGGCACATGCCTGTAGTTCTAGCTACTTGGAAGGTTGAGGCAGAAGGATCACTGGAGCCCAGCTGGTCGAGGCTGCGGTGGCCTGGAGCGTGCCACTGCACTCCAGCCTGGGTGAAAGAGTGAGACTCCAACTCAAAAAAAAAAACACAAAATACATTCTTCTCTCCCTCTTTCCAACATTAATATCTTACATTGGTGTAGTACATTTGTTATAATTGATGAATCAATCTTTACTATTAACCAAAGTCCAGAGTTAGGGTTTGCTCTTCGTGTTGTACACTTCTGTGGGTTTTCACAATGTATAACATCATGTATCCACCAATACAGTGTCCTACAGAGTGGTTTCACTTTTGGGGGGGTGGTTAGAGTCTCACTCTGTCACCAGGCTGGAGTGCCATGGCACGCTCAGGCCACCACAGCCTCTACCTGCTGGGCTCCAGCGATCCTTCGGCCTCAGCCTTCCAAAGAGCCATAACTACAGGAGCACACTACCACGCCTGGCTAATTTTTGATTTATTGTAGAGAAGAGATCTCGCCAAGTTGCCCGGGCTGATCTCGAACCCATGGGCTCAGGCAATCCGCTCGCCTCAGCCTCCCAAAGCGCCGGGATTACAGGCTGAGCCACTGAGCCCAGCCTACTTCAGTTTCTCTAAAAAATCTGTGCTTCACCCATTCATCCCTTGCCCCTCTCCTCTCCCTCCCATACGAATGGTTTTAGAGATACAATATGAACCTTTTTTTTTAGACTGGCTCCTTTTATCAATATGCATTAAGTTTCCTTCCGGGCTTTTTATGAATGGGTTCACTTTTATTTTTGTTTGTTTAAAGATTAGTCAAGTGCAGTAGTAAGAAGAGGTGGCAGAGTGGGACAAGGCATTTAATCTAACTGACTGCGAAGGGTCAGCTGAGATACCGAATACCTTTGGACTTGCTACAGTTCACTATTTTTTTTTTTTTTGAGTCGGAGTCCACTTTGTTGCCCAGGTTAGACTGCAGTGGCATGCTCAAGGCCACCACATCCTCGACCTGCTGGGCTCAGGTGATCCTTCCACCTCAGTCTTCCAAGTAACTGGAATTACAGGCACGGGGCACCACACCCGGCTAATTTTTTGACTTATCGTAGAGCTGAGTTCTTACCAAGTTTCCCAGGCTGGTCTCGAACCCATGGGCTCAGATAATCCTCTCGCCTCGGCCTCCCAAAGTGCTGGGATTATAGGCGTGAACCACTGCGCCTGGCTGGGATTATCATTTTTCTTTGTCACTAAGAGAACTTGGAGGAAAAATTTATGAAACACTTACCTGGACCCACACCTTCATAAATTATTAAAATCCAGTATTTATCGATCAACTGTTCTGTGACAAGCACTGTACTGGGTACTAGGTATAAAAAAATAAAGCTCTCCTCTCTCTCTTTCTCTAATTTATAAATAAACTGTTATTTTCTAATCTAAAAAAAGGGGGCCATTGGCTTATTAGACTGGTGTGACCGTGTGCTCTTGGAGCTATGACTCCCTCCCCTGCCTTGGGAATGAGAATCTCTTCTTTCTCTAGTTGACTTTCTAAAACAAACTATTTTCTAATCTAAAAGATAAATAAAAATGAACAAAGCACAGTCCTGAACCTCCCCTCAAGGAGCTCACAACATTGTCCCATAGGACTTGGGGAAAACAGAGTGTACAAGATAGACTTATTTCTGCCCTGGAGCCTACGTACGTCCAGGGAGGAAAGGCAAGTCAGTATCATCTGAATGTGCAAACGTCATAATTGGGACTTATTTATACTAATACAATGCCATGTAGGTATCACTCCCTCTCAGTTCACCAGAAGGGGTCAAAGATCCCTGGTTTCCCTGGTGACTCGGCACGCGGTTACATCATTTATCCAGAGAAGGAACACAAATGCACAGGCAAGTTATGAGAAAAGACAAGTTGCTGTTCCAGTAAGTGGGTGTTTGAGTTCCAGAGGATCATGTGCACGTGGGAAATTTTAGCCAGGTAGAAGTTGGGCCTAGATTGGGATTGGAGACCCAGACTGGAGAATCACAGCAGAAAGCGGTCCATGCCGTGTTGAAAAGTATGGGCTGACTAGGAACTTTGTTAAGCCCTCGGAACATGTTAGTGAGTGTTGCTGAAAGTACAGAATTTTGGGAAACACCAATATTTAGGGGCTAAATGGAGCCGGGCAGGCCTAGAAAGAGCTCACAGCAAGAAGCCAGAGAGTTTGGAGGACTCCAGAATGGTGGGATACTATCCAAGAGGATTTTTAACAAAGAGAGGCTGCTCAGGGTGCCCTTAAACGAGGTCCAGCAGGAAAGGACTCTGTTTCAGAAATCCATCACCCCTGGGGGTCTCCCATGACAACCAGGGGATGCCCACCGGGAGTTTGTATTTGGAAGAGGAAATGCAGTGGATCAGGAAAAAGTCCTAGTTGTTCTGGATAAGGACTAAAGTAGGGTGACAGTGAAAAGACACATTTCATTTTTCTTTTTTTTACATTTTATTTTATTGATTGATTGATTTTGAGTCGGAGTCTCATTGTGTCGCCCAAGCTGGAGTGCAGTGGCATGCTCACGGCCACCGCAGTCTCGACCTGCTGGGCTCAGGCAGTCCTTCCACCTTGGCCTTCCAAGTAGCTGGGACCACAGGCATGCGCCAACATGCCCAGCTAATTTTATTTTATTTTATTGTAGAGATGAGGTCTCGCCAATTTGCCCACGCTGGTCTCAAACCCCTGAGCTCAGGCAATCCTCTCGTCTCCGCCTTCCAAAGTGCTGGGATTACAGGTGTTTGCCACCGCACCCGGCTGACAACTTTCTTGGCTCTTCTATGCTTTTTTTTTGAGTCAAAATCTCATTGTCACCCAGGCTGGAGTGCAGTGGCACGTTCAAGGCCACCGCACCCTTAACCTGCTGGGCTCAGGAGATCCTTCCACCTCAGTCTTCCAAGTAACTGGAACTACAGGCACGTGCCACCATGCCCGATTAATTTTTTGATTTATTGTAGAAATGAGGTCTTGCCATGTTGTCCGGGTTGATCTCCAACCCCTGGACTCAGGCAATCCTTTTGCCTCTGCCTCCCAAAGTGCTGGGATTACAGGTGTGTGCCACCGTGCCGGCTGACAACTTCCTTAGCTCTTCTATGCTTTTTTTTTTTTTTTAGCCGGAATCTCACTGTCACCCAGGCTGGAGTGCAGTGGCACGCTCAAGGTCACCGCACCCTTAACCTGCCGGGCTCAGGAGATCCTTCCACCTCAGCCGTCCAAGTAGCTGAAACCAAAGGCGTGTGCTACCACGCCCTGCTAACTTTTTGATTTATTGTAGAGATGAGGTCTCGCCTAGATGCCCAAGTTGGTCTGCAGCCCCTGGACTCAGGCGATCCTCTCGCCTCCGCCTCCCGGAGTGCTGGGATTACAGGCGTGGGACTATTGGGTGCAGACAGTCTGGCTGGCGCCCTTAACTCAGGACCTCATCTTTCTCAAGCATCCTCGGGAATGAGCCAAAGAAGCGCCGGCTTGGGGACCGACCAGGCCGCGCCTCCGACCTCAGCCCGGGAGCAGGAGCGGGGCGCCGCCGCCAGGGGGCGCAGACCGCTCGCCCGCGCGCTGGACTTGCGGGCGGGGCCCACCGCGGGGCGGGCCCCGGAGCAACTTCCGGCTTCCGGCGGAATCCTGGGTCGTGGCGAGCCGCCGTCATGGCCGCCGAGGAGAAAGATCCGCTGAGCTATTTCGCGGCTTACGGCAGCAGCAGCAGCTCGGGTTCCTCGGACGAGGAGGACCACGTGGAGCCGGAGGCGGCGAGCCGCAGGGCCCCGCATCCGGCGCAGTCGGCGGGCGGCTGCGGGAACCAGGCGGAGAAGCGGCTGCCGGGCCCCGACGAGCTGTTCCGGAGCGTGACGCGCCCGGCCTTCCTCTACAACCCGCTCAACAAGCAGATCGACTGGGAGCGGCACGTCGTCAAGGCGCCGGAGGAGGTGAGGCCTCCGCCCCCGTGTCCCGCGCTCGGCCCCGGCTCGGCCTGCCGCCTC